AAAAAAGAAAAAGAACGAAAGAGATCCGATAGAAAGCGCGAGATCTCGCGTCGACGCAAGAGATGCGCTTCGATCGACAACTGGCGAGCGCAAGAGTCCTGGAACGATGATCGGCAGACCGTGCACCGATTGTCGCTTCGGCACGCGTCTGGCAAATTCAAGCCACGCCGGAGAACCGCAAAAGAGAGAGAGAGAAAAAAAAAAGAAATGGAATCCGTCTTTTGAAGTGAAATTCGATGCGTGTTCAATGATTAAAGAGACGCGCGAGGTTGTATTTTTTTGTAATTTAATAGAACGTTAAGGACCCCCAGTCCCAACACCATCACATCACCCCATCCCCCTCTTTTTATTAACTCATACCAATCGACGGTGCGTACATGAGAAAAACTGTGTGCTTGTATGTTAATATAACTATACGTACGTGGATTTATATTTTGTTACTCGGAAGGTATACGCATCACGTTGTAATATAATAGTGTGCGACAAAAGCTCAACGGAGAAGTTTGACCAGATTTCAAGTTTGATTTCGGCAACTGGAAGACAAGAAGTTAAAGAGCGAGGAGGGAAGTCTCGTGGGAAATCCCGTGATGCCGAGAAGATCCCGTTCATTCGCGATGACCAAAAAACATTGAACATTCACATTCAGTGTACTCTTTCACACGACGATATCTCTGTAAAAAAAAACAAGTAAAGAAATGTGTAGAGTCTACCAGTGTGACAAACGATATGACGATACCTCTGTGCCTGCGCGGCGAGCGTGCACCAAACGATGCCTACCACGCTGTTTTCCATTTATGTTGTAAAAACTTTTAACAAATAGTTGTTTTTTTATTAATAAAATGTATTTCAATAAAACCTCCTACAGTATTTTATTTCCAGTTATTAATTTCCATAATTTATATTACTGTAGCTCCATATTTACACTTTACAATACCGTATTTAGGTTATATTTTTGTTCACAGCGTTTTGTTTATAATCAAAGTAAAGAAATTTTTTCTAAAAATCAATAGCTGTGTTACAAAATTCATTGTCAGCGCTGAAAATCTACAATGTACTGTACATTTTCAGCGCTGGCAATGAATTTGGAACATAGTCTATATATATATATGATTATAAACAATAAAAATAACAAAAAAATCTTATAACGTACGTTATAATATACGTGTGTATACATTCGTTTGCCTATATATATATATATGTACACGTATTATAAGATTTTTTGTTATTTTTATTATTTCAAACCATAAATTCTAATTAAACCTGATAAACGTGGAGATAAGTAAATAAATAAATAAGTAGAATCAATTATTCGAAAAATTTTTTGTATATTCTTACACGTTTATAGACGTGTCAATTATATTAAAAAACTTATAATCTTATAAAAATAACATTAAAAATTATTTTATTTTCCACTTCTTTAATACATTTTTACGAAAAGGAAAAAGACGTAGATCATGTTATATTAATGTACACATTAGGTACTCAAAATATGACCTAAATATTACTTTTTGTTAAAATCTTCACTATACCATGTAAATATTTAAAAATGTCTCACGTCTCTTTTTAATATTCAGAAATGATTCTTCTTTTGAGCCTAACCAATCTTTAATTTTGAACTCATTGTCAACAAAAAAAAATTTGAAAAAATCGCAAAACTTAGATAGTCCATATACAGTCCAATTAACTTAAGTAACGCCCTACGGTATTTTATTTCGTACTCTTATTTTTATATATGTTATATTTTATTTATATTGTTTACATTATTTATGTATTATATTCATATTTTGCTTATGTATCTCAAATCCTTGGTAGATATATGACTATCGATTTTCAACATCTCGTCAAACCATCTTTATATTTCCGTAACTTTTTTTATTCACCTTTATTGGTATTACTTTATACATTCTCTGTTGATTCAGACTGATCTTGGCTTTGTTATTCAATAGAGATGTGCCGTGTGACATAATTTTATCTGCCATTTCTGAATCAATACGAATATCCACATTGTCATCTATGAAATCAGTAACGTCACCATCGGCCACGTCACTTCTTTCATTGTCTGCAGATTCAATTAAACTTGACCTTTCGCACTCTTCCTTTTCTGTTAATGCAAAGTAGGAAATAGTATAGAATGTATTAAATAGAATAAAATATAAATATAAAATAAGAAAAATTTCATACTAACTTTTGTGCTTCAGAATATTAAGACCACAAATAACATCTACATCATTACAATTTCGTTTTAACACTGTTAATAAAAATTATATTTTAATATCTTATCCTTTTATAATCAAATAGTTTTAATTAAACAGCATTTATATTTATACATGTAATACAATAAAATTAATTAATCCTTACATCGATTTCCAATATCACGAGCCTTCTTGTAATCTTTTGTCATTAAAGCGATTATGAACTAAACATACAAAGTTTGATATATCTATTAATATTTAACAAAACTAAATTTTAAACTTTATAATAAATATTTAATAATAATTCATTATATAAATATTATACTTATAATACTTCAATGCGATCTTCATAATTCGCGTTACGTTCTTGGTTCATCGTTGTTTTAAGCGTACTTTTTACTTTTGAACTTCATCGATAACCATTTTTAGTCAAAGATAAGAATTTCACAGAATCGCGCTTATCATTATTACAAGCAGAATAAGATATAGACTGAGTATTATAAAGTATAACATTAATACTTAATAATTTCAATCCTTCGAATCAATATTATCACTCGTTTGTGCAAACAATTCCAATGTTTTATCAAAAATTTACTACAAAGCGATTTTATGTCATAACCTGAATATAATTTAAGATGCGAATGTGCCTGAATTAATCAGAAAAACAATTGACACGTGTTCATGTATATACTAATATATATATATATATATATATATATATATATATATATATATATATATATATATACTAAGCATACATATATTATTTGTTAATAACTTTAAATATTGTTTGTCAGAATTAAAATTTTATAAATATCTGCGCTCTCTCTCTCTCTCTCTCTCTCTCTCTCTCTCTCTCTCTCTCTGCGATTATATCTCTTTTTAATATTTAATATTAAATGTTACAAAAACAAATCCTTACTGGATTATCATAAACCTGCTGTCATTTAGAAAATCTCATTTTGCAATTGGAAGACTGTAGTAGTCTGCGTGCACACGCGAGATGCCAGCACGATAATTATATACGTGGACGAAAAAGAAGAAGTCGTTGGTATGCTGAATGCGTCATTGCTGAGACCCTTCAAATTTATTCAGTTTCATCATACGCGAATTCGTGGAAGAAACAGTCTTCAGAAACCGTATCGTATAATCATAAATTATTCCAGAAATCTTTTTTTCATGATAAAGAGAACGTATCTCTATTTCAGTTTTAAATAGCCTTGTTTGTTCATACAAATTCCTCTTACGCTTCAACGAAATGGGTACATCGAATAAAAATATCGCAAAATTACAAATTGTTTCGTTATTCACACTACAAGTACCGAAAATCAGTTCACGTTACATGTACTATAGATTTTCAATACTATCACTAAATAACAGAAAATGCAGGCATAGATGTAATAGAGAGAACATAGGTATAGACGCATTCTCTGATTTTACAAATTCCTGCGCTTTGTTAGAAAGAATTGAACATATCAGCATCTCTCTTCAACTTGATATTTGAGAGAGAGAGAGAGAGAGAGAGAGAGAGAGAGAGAGAGAGAGAGATGTTTCAAGCTACATTTTTCTAAATTATGACTTTATCAAAATGTACAGTCTATTCTTACTACGTCTATGCGCAAAATATATTTTTCGATTGTTGATTTCCCAACAATCTTCTCGGACAGAATGTTAAGCAAGATTTATACGATGCTTTTTTTTACCAATAATTAACTCAAACAACGTTCAAAATATTGTATAATGTCCAAAATATGTTTAATAAATTTTGAAAATTAATTTCAAATGTGTTTAATAATATAACATTTAAAATTTGATACATTTTTGAAATAATTTAATAAATCTTATACAAATATTAAAAAAAACGTTTTATAAAACGTTTATTTAATGATTTTTTTATTAGATTAAAATACAAATTTTTATGACGCTTCGATGGTTTAATAAACGTGTTTAACATTAATAACGTCCATTTAATGTTTATGCACCATAAAAAACGTATCAACTAAATATTTTTTTTAACATTTATCAAAAACCGTAAAACGGCACGGATAGTGTGCCAACTAGTCTTAATTCTAAAAAAATTAACAGCTAAAGAAGTACACATCACACTATAAATTTGATATATTTTTGAGAAAACTAGCTAACTAAAAAATTATAATTTATAGAAATCTGCATTTGTTTAGTTGCCAGTTCTTCTATTTGCTGAAAACTTTTAACACGCTGGTTGCTATAATAAAATCAGAGACTCGAACTGAAAATTTTCGGTCCGGATAACAGTCCGAGGCTAAATCCAACTTTTGGTTCCAGTTCTTTTGCCGTACCTACCGGTTACCGAGTCCGTTTGGATTTCATTCTTTTTCGTTCGTTTTCAGCTTCGGTAATTATATACTTGTAAACGCGTCACCGTTATAACGCTAAAAGAACTGGAATGGACATTGAAACCGAAAGTTAAAAGTAGCCTCGGACCATAATCGTAAGGACGAAATTTTAATTCATAACGTTATTTCGATCCGAATTCCTGAAAATGTGTAAATCTTGCTTGACCGCATATATAGCAAATTGTAGCATGAGCTTGCACTTGCAACTCCATCTAGCCATCGTCGACTGTGCTTATCACAACTCGACTGCACCGAGGAACGATAACGAATCGAGTAGCACACATAGTGCTAAATAGCAACTTGCAATTGCGCTATCATGTTACGTACGATTCACGACACGAGAGACATTTTATCTAAATTACCCCGCAGCAATTATCTTTATTTTTATTCTTTTAATAGTATTGCCCCACACATAAATTCTATAATAAAATAATTTAATAAAAAATTAATACAAAGATTGGAATATATATTGTAAAGTAAAGAAAATTTTATTTAATTTTTTATATTATTTAAGTTATTCATCCATTTGCTTTCATTAGTGTGTACTTGCGCTATTAGTTTTCTTATTCGGCACGACATAATTATTCTTATATCCGGTCAGCACGCTTTCTCTTGCCGAAGCTTTCAGAACTCGATGAACGCGCAAATCGCGTTCCAATTCCACACACACACACGCGCGCGCGCGCGCACGCACGCACACACACATTCGCCCATTAATATGTTTTCAATTAGTCTATCTATGAGTCACTCCTTCACATAGATATATACATATGTATACAATTGATAAAAAATTAAAGTATGTTATAAATAACGATGATGTTACAAATAAACTAAAATCTCTCTAGCAACATTTTCAAGATATTCAGAAGAGACTCGAAGAACTGCGGAAGACGCGAGAAACGCTTGCTCCAGTCGGTTGCGGTAAACGACCGGCAAAGTGCAGCGTCAAGAAAAGAAAAAAAGCTGGAAAACGCCGCGGTATACGGCGAGATAAACGAGCGATCGCGCGTTGGGACCAGCATGAGAGAACAATAAATTATCGACTCCCGGCGAGATTATCGTCTCGAATACCGCACATGACGTGTTCCGGCCGGCGCGTCGCGACGGCGCGGGCGCCGCGGTTCGCCTCGATTCGCCTCGATTCGCTCTCAATGAGCTCACTCCGCTTTCGGCGGCTTCCGATTCGTCGCGGATGACGTTACCACGATATATGCGTATTGTACTCCCAACACTGTCCCGTGACGTGGTTTAACCCCGACACCATCGCCTCTCCAACCGCATTTCACGGACGACGATCGAAGAGACTACACGACGGAGTATACAGCGAAGCACGCACGTCCACCTGATTCCGACCCATCAGCCACGCGAGACGAGCGAGTGAAAATAGTTGCACAGTGCGAACACGGACTTGATCCTCCTTGAGTCTTTTCTACCAGCTCTACCTCAGCCCAAGTGGAAGTTACACCGATACCGATTGTCTCAGGGAGGGTGAGTAAATTCGAATATAAATCGTTGTATGACGTTCCGCCGCGTAAAAGAGTTTGTACAGCTCATTATGTAACGATCTGAGGTCTGTTTTTTTATTTACTCGTAGTTAAACTAGCGTACACGTTTCTGTATGTTTAAAGTATAAATATAAATCGATATTTCTTTGATATCTGGCAAAAGCGAGAAGGAAAGTTCAGATGCGGTTCAATGCAGTAATAAAAAAAAAAAACAAACAAACAAACTTCTAAACGCGGATGTAGATGTATAATACGTCGTCGCGAACCATCGACAGGAACCGTCGATCCCACTAGCAATTGAAAGGTGCTGCGTAGTCGCGAGGGATCGATTGGAGCGCGCGACGCGTGTTGACGTCGTCGTCGTCGTCGTCGTTGCGTCGTTGTCGGCGGCGGCGCAACTATATATTTTCAGGTCGCACGGATATAGTTTCTTCAAGGGTATTCCCGGCCCGACAATTTTGCGTCGCACTGATGCGCGCGAGTGCAGGGTCGCGATCAGGTGCGCAAGTTACGATATACCGCACCGTGTTGCGCCGCCGCGACCGACGTCCGCAACCGTATGATGCAACCCGCGCCGATCTGCCGAGACTCGAATCGGAATAGTCACATGCGCCCGAACGCCAAACAGCGAACGTTACGTAACCAGTCGGCCTAGTCTACTAGTCGGACTGTAGGACTGTTTTCCTGCAGTGCGCCTTGTCCGCCCACCGATAAACCTTGGAAGAAAAAAAAACATGTGTAAGTCCGTTTCGCAAAGAGTGGTATATCGCGAGGAAGAAAAACGAGATAAAGACTATAATGAGTCTTATTAGTCCGTATAAAAGTGGATAAATTGAATGACATTTTCAAGGTCTTTTGTATAAAGTAAGTACAATATGGCGATATGGCATTATATCGGAAAACAACAAGCTGTTTGCTTTCCT